CTGCCCTGCACCCCCATGCCCCCAGCCCTCTGCCCTGCACCCCCATGCCCCCAGCCCTCTGCCCTGCACCCCCATCTCCCCCAGCCCTCTGCCCTGACCCTGAAACACCCCCCACCCCTCGTCTGTGGTCCCGGCCGCAGGCCCTGCTCAACCCGCTGCCGGCTTAGGTGAACAGAACCCCAGGCTGGCAGCAAGCTGAGCAGGCTGGTGGTGTAAGATCAGCATTTTAATTTAATTTTAAATGACGCTTCTTAAACATTTTGAAAACCTTGTTTACTTTACATACAATAATTTAGTTATATAATATAGACTTATAGAAAGAGACCTTCTAAAAACGTTAAAATGTATTACTGGCACGCGAAACCTTAAATTAGAGTGAATAAATGAAGACTCGGCACACCACTTCTGAAAGGTTGCCGACCCCTGGAATAGATAAGACAGTAAATATCATAATGCCACTATATAAATCCATGGTTCGGCCACACCTTGAATACTGCATCCAGATGTGATTGCCCCATCTCAAAAAAGATACACCTCTACCCCGATATAACGCTGTCCTCGGGAGCCAAAATATCTTACCGCATTATAGGTGATACCACATTATATTGAACTTGCTTTGATCCACCGGAGTGCGCAGCCCTGCCCCCCTGGAGCGCTGCTTTACCACGTTATATCGAATTTGTGTTATATCGGGGTAGAGGTGTATATTAAAATTGGAAAAAGTACAGAGAAGGGCACCAGAAATGATTACAGGTGTGGAACATCTTCCATATGAGGAGAGATTAAAAAGACTGGTACTGGTCAGCTGTGAAAGGAGATGACTAAAGGGGATATGCGGAGAAAGTGAATAAGGAAGTATTTGTGTAATACAAGAATCATGGTCACCCAGTGAAATGAATAGGCAGTAGGTTTAAAACAAACAAAAGGAAGTACTTCCTTTTCACACAAGGCAGAACCTGTGGATCTCATTGCCAGGGGATGTTGTGAAGTTCAAAACTGTAACTTGCCTCAAAAAAGAATTCAGTAAGTTCATGGAGGATAGGTCTATCAATTGGCTATTAGCCAAGATGGTCAGGGGCATAACCTCATGCTCTGGATGTCCCTGAGCCTCTGACTGCCAGATGCTGGGAGTGGACAACAGGCTCACTCGATAATTGCCCTGTTCTGTTCATTCCCTCTGAAGCATTCAGCATTAGCCACTGTCAGAAGACAGGATATTGGGTTAGATGGACCATTGGTATCACCCGGTATGGCCGTTTTTATGTTGAATCTGTGGACATAAGCAAATAGTACAATATGCTGAAACTTATGAGGTGGCAACACCTTTGGCTTGGAGGGATTTGTGACTCATTTTGCCATGGCTATATCAGGTTTGAAGATCTGATTAGGCACGCTTTCCGCTTCGTATGTTTGAGGCAGCTACCTAAAGTACATGCTAGTTGGCCAATATGATGTCACTTTGGCAGGATATCAGGGACTGCTTTCTTGGTGATATCATTTCAAATAGCTTTAGTCACCTGGCATTCCTTCTGAGAGTTTGGGGCCTCCATTTAAAACCCATTTCCTGTTCATCTTGAATTCGTATTCCTTATAGTAGTACTACTTGTCACCTGTTGTGGCAGTTTCTCTGTCACAGGAAATATTTTAAATCAATTTTTTTTCTAAAAGAGATGCTCTCGTTCAAACTGAAAATAATTCTGAGTATTCTTATGGTGGAGCTGTCAGGAATTTTTTTAAATAGTTTTTTGTTTATTGGTTAGAAATTGCCAATTTGTGGAAACCAAAACTTTTCCTGTGGAAGGGGCTCTCGGGCCCAGGATGGAATTTCAGGGGAGAGAGAATATCCAATATTCAGGTGGTTAGGACACTCACCTGAAATGTGGGAGACCTGGATTCAAGTCTCTTACCTCAATCGGGCAGAGCAGAGAGTTGAACCTGGGTATCCTACCTCCCAGATGACGCCTCTTCCCACTGGGCTCTTTGCTATTCTGCACTCACTCATGCACTCGCTCTCTGGTTTCTTGATTGAAATTTTTTGAAAAGTTTTGGGCTCATCCCAATGTGGAATGGGAAAACTTTAGAAATCTCACATTTTTGAAGTATGGGACAATACCTACAGCTATACCTGTGGCCTATGTTATGGAGGTCAGACTAGATGATTGCAGTGGTCCCTTCTGGCCTTATAATCTATGATTCTATTAATGTTTTGATACATACCTTTACAATATGTTGTCAGATTGTATAACTCTACAGAGTAAGCAACACCTCTACGTAGTCTGTTTATACTTTGCCAGCTGGAGGGGTTTTGTACTGTTGCATTCATTTGTTTCTTGGATTCCCATCTTGGTTAATTCAGATTCTATTAAGCTAAAAATGTTTTTGCTTGTAAAAGCATGGAAAGCAGAAGTGTTCAGTAACATGTTATATTAAGACTTGGAATTCTGAATTTGTAAGCATGTAATCAATTTCCTTTGTTTCTAGCCCTTATGGTTGAAAAGAGAACCTTAAAAGCATGAATTCAAACATGAACTGGTGTTGTTATCTTGGCTCTACGCATACAGCCTGAAACGCTAATTTTAAGAACTGAAGTATATTTAACTTCCATTACATTTTGAAACCTAAACCTGATTTAAACATCTATATTGTTAACGGTTTCACTGCTGATCATTTTAGCAAAAACAAATGTACTAACCACCCCGCATGCTTTCCTGGATGTTAGAAGTCCCAACTGTCCCTTTTCCAGCTACCAAAACCTCCTACTTTGCTATGACAACTTTTAAGCAATGATAGTACAAAAATATGTGGCCCATTGAAAATTCAAAATTATGGGCAATGCAGAGTAAATGGAATATAGTATCATACCAACAAAAAGGATACTGTGCTACTTATAATATTTTTCACATTACTTCATTTTTAAATTTGCCAGAAGCTGCTGCAGAATTTGTTGTCCATTTTTAGTCACTGTAGTGCTGCAGAAGTCAGGGAGCCTTGCTACAGAGTTTGGATCCTCCATGGCAATTAGTCTTATTTATAAACTGTGAATGTCAGATTTTATTAGGAGTTATGCTATCATATACACTTGTTAGTTAACCACCTTTCATGTGGTAATTCACAGTTGCATTGATGCCCATTTAAAAAATGTATCTTGCAGCAGCATTGAATGTTAGCATTCTGCAACTGCAATAAGTCTTATGCTTGAACTGGAAAATTCTGCTGTAAATTAGCCACTACAGGTGATGAACAGTAACTTTTTTTTTAAATGGCATTCATTCTAACTCTTCAAATGGTAATAGTAAGACTCACTGTGGTGAAACATGGTTGCTTTTTTGTTTTTGAATGCGATTGCTACCAGGGAGCCTTGCCAGTACATTTCCAACACGTTAATTTTTTTTAGTCTATTTCTGTTCTTTTGAAGAAACAGTATACGTTGGACAAAATGCTAGATTTAACCCTGATGGTGTCTTGTACCAAAATTTATATTGTGTTACACATCAATATCTGTTCTTCATTAAACTTAAAATACCATGTTTGCGTTCACATTGCATTTAATTAATATATTTACTAAATTTTAATGTATACTTTTTTATATTAGATCCTTCAGGAAAGAGATGTGCTGTTGCATGTACACAGGAAGGAGAGGAGAAAAAACAAGCCTCTGGCACATCTGGTACTAGAGGAACAAGAAAGAAGACTACAAATACTACTCCTAGAAGATCTGCACGGAACAGAAAAACTGAGACTATGAGTCAATCTCGCAGCTCACCAAGATCAAGTAATTCTGGATGTGATGCCCCCAATGACAATAACTCAACTATAAATGTTTCTTCTGCAGATTCAGAAAAACCACTTTCAAAACGAAAGTCTAAAAGAGGAGTTAAACAGCAGGTACCTTTGGTTAAAAAGAAACTTAGAAGTTCTCTGCGTTCTGAAAAATCATCGAGTGATTCAGTGGAAGATGACGAAGCTGCTGAGTCTGATACACCTCCAATATTAGATAAAGACCACCTGTCGGATATTGAAAGTAGTAACTCTTGCCTTATGCACAAAAATAATGCAGAAACAGAGTCTGCTAATGGCTTGGAAAGCTGCAGTGAACATGTAGAGAGTGAGGATCTTACAAGAGACTGTGACAAAGAACAGGATACCCTAGAGAATTCAGATTCAGGTTCTTGTATCCAAGAATCTCCTGTGTTAACCTTAGAGACTCAGAAATGTGAAATAAAAGATGTTAATAAAAATGTTACAGATTTTGAAAATAAAGATGTCTGTGAAAATATTCTTGAACAAGTAGAACAGCCAGTGGATAGTCACAGAGATCAATTACTTGAGGATTCAATAACACCTACAAAAGTAGATCAGACATTAGATAGTCCCCAAGATGAATTGCCTGAGTATCCAGAATCTGTGGCAAAAGTAGTTCTGCCTTTAGATAGCCCCAGAAATGAATTGACTGAGCATCCAGAATCCATAGAAATTGATGATTCTGAGGACAAAGAACAGGCAGCAAATTGTAACACTGCAAATATTGAGAACATAAAAACTGTTCAAGATACTGAAACAGCTGTATTAATAAATAATATTTCTCTAGACATTAACAAATTGGACCAGTCTTTAGAAGAGGAGCCCATACCTGTATGTGAAGAGGCCAGAACTACAGAGTTACTCAAGGTGAATGTTGAACAATCTAATAAACATTTTAATGAGGATAACAATGAAATGATACCAATGGAATGTGACTCATTTTGCAGTGACCAGGCTGAATCTCAAATTGAACAGCCACCACCAGCTGAGAGTATCAAACAAGAGGAGGCAGGCTCATTGCAGCAAGATTCCGAAAACTGTGTATCACACTCAGGTCTTTCTGACAAAAAAGGTGAAGCTTCTTCTCAAGAAACAGAATGCTCAACAGAGGTTAAAAAAGATAAAAAGACTCGAACTAGAAGGTCTAGATTTCACTCTCCATCAACAACTTGGTCTCCTTCCGGGAGAGAGGGTGGAAAATCTCAGTCACCATCTCCCAAAAGAGAGACTGTCAGGGAGGGCAGGAGGTCTCGGTCACCCGAAAGGGAAACTGCCAGGGAGGGCAGGCGATCTCCTTCTCGGTCTCCAAAAAGAGAGACTGTCAGAGGGGGCAGGAAAACGCCATCTCGGTCTCCTAAAAGGGAGACTGATAGGGAAGGCAGAAGATCTCCTTCTCGGTCAAGAGTTAAAGATTCCTCTCCAAGGCAAAAATCTAGGTCTCAAAGCAAAGACAGAGATAGTGATAGAGATGGACAAAGGAGAGATCATGACAAAGAGAGAAGAAATAGGAGATGGTCAAGATCCCGGTCACGATCTAGATCAAGATCCAGATCAAGAACAAGAAGTAAGGGTCCTTCATTCATTAGGAATGAGAGAGACGGTCACTCTCCTCGGTGGAAAGAGAGATGGACAAATGACAGCTGGAGAAGTCCCAGAGGAAATGATAGATATAAAAGAAGTGACCAGGAGAAACAGAATGAAAATATGCAAAAAGAAAAAGACAATACAGAGAAAAGTATTGATGAGCAATGTTCTTCTGAAAAGCATAAGAATGATTGTCCGGACTGGGTAATGGAAAGGATAAATTCTGTTCCTGAAACTAGGAGCAGAGAGAGAGACAAATTTAAAGATCCACAATGGGAAGAAAATAGACACGATAATTCAGGACATTCTTGGAATAAAAACTTTGGTTCAGGTTGGATTTCAAATCGCGGCAGAGGTGGCCGTAACAGAGGTGGCCGTGGCAGAGGCGGTTTCATGTATGGAGACCAGAATGAAAACCACTGGCAAAATAAAAAACCCCTCTCAGGAAACTCAAATAGTTCTGGGAATGAGACTGCAAGGTTCCCAGAACATCAACCATACAGGCGTAAGAGTGAACAAGATTTTTCTTTTGATACGCCTGCTGATAGGTCTGGGTGGACATCTGCATCTAGTTGGGCTGTAAGAAAGACTTTACCTGCAGATGTACAGAACTATTATTCAAGAAGAGGGAGAAATTCCTCAAGTCCGCAGTCTGGATGGATGAAGCAAGAAGATGAGACATCTGAGCAAGGTATTCATTTTCCTCTGATTTTCATAGTATTTAAATGGAGTAAATTTCTTAGTATTTGTAGTATTCTTTAAAAAAAAATGTGAATTTGACACTGTCACTTTACTGTTTTGTGCAGCAAAGGCTAACTAGTAGTCGCACAACAAACAAAATTGGAAAAGCTTCCTAAGAAGGGAGGCCTTCTTTTTTTTTCTCCACCCCGGTCTGTATGCTACAAACACTCTTGGGCTGGATGTTCAGTAACTTAAGAACTGGCCTTTTGAGTTTTCGGGACTACAGTGCAACCAACCAAATATGTTCCTTAAGAAAAAGGAAAAAAAATACATTTATGTGTTTTTGCTTATTTTAGAGAGTTTACACACACTGTGGTATTGTTGGTACAGAGTGAACAGGAGAGAAACGTAATGAACTACTTATTACCTTTTTTAAAAGGGTGATTTCTTCAAGGAAGACTTAATAGTTACCAATGAAAACATATACAAGTTACAGATTTGATCAGGTGTTAACTTGATGGCACTAACCATAATGTCGCAGTCAGCATTTTTAGAGTGAAACTGGCTTTCATGTTATAAAGTATTTATAAATCCAAAAATGTCTTATGCTCTTACTAATTAGCAGATGGCTCTTGACTGACCTAGAGGGAGAAAAATCCTTGTTTACCCCTATCTTGATCCTTTAGTTTTTGACCTCACAATTATCACTGTGCACAGACTGTTGCAATAAACATAGGGTTATTATTAATTACAAGAGCAAACAGACAAAGAAGTCCTCGTTTGTACAGAAGAGAATTTTTTCAGATATACACAACTGCAGTAATATCAAAGGGCATTCAGAGAACTAGGAGTAAATAAAACATTTTATATAAGTGTTACTCTTCCATATTTGTTACAGTGAACATCCCCACCCAGGGGGACTGTAATATCATTTTGAGTGTTTCCTGTTAAGTTAATAAAAATATTCTGGGTTGAATAAACTTTGAAGTAGAAGGCTGAGGAGTTATTAGCTCAGGATGAGGTTAATTCTGAATTAGTGGAAAGCTCCCTCAAGTTATTAATACTCTGAAATTGTTATGAAACATGTGAATTAAATTAAAACTACAGAACACAAATGGGATGTTACATAAAACTTACAAAAAAATTCCTACCTTTGCTCTTGTCCCAGTTTCTTCACCTATTTTTTTCTTTCTCCATCTCTATTCCTAATCCCTACTTCCTACATGTCCATAAAATCCTCTTCAAAATAGCCCAATGTATTTTTGTTGTTGAAAACTGAATTTGGAGGGAGAGAATTAAATTCTTCCATTATAAATTCAGTAAGACAGAGCCATGTTGGCCTATAGAAAAGGAGGCACTTGTGGGGAGAATGAGGTATAAGAGGAAAGGTCAAATCTTGAATTCAGTGACACAGTTCCCACTTATTTCAATCATGTACAAAGAAAGAAAGTGAGCCAATGGATTTTTAAACAGTTCAGCAGCTTCACAGTCCCAGCTTCTTAGCTTTTGGGGTTTTACTACTCACATGTAAATTTCATTTTTTAAATGTATTTATTTATTTATTGCCTGCTGTTAAAGTGGGGAAGTAAAGTTGAAATAAACACTTATTTATTTCTGGCACAATGTGTGAACTTTGTGAGTAAGGGAGCATATCACCATCCTATACAGTTAGTATCCCTGAAGTCTGGATAATAAGCACTCTTAGCCAATCAGAATATAAATATCCTTATACTACAGAACCGTTATTAGACATAACTATAGCATGGTTGTGCAAATCAGACACACAGAATTGCATACATGAGAAAATGTATGCTTGTGTTTCAGTAACAATGAGTTGGGTAATGTGTGTTGCATTCCTGCACTTTGGCTGAAAATTCTGTTTCAGTAAAATATAACACATTTTAAGCTGTGGTATAAATGAGTAGTTGGAGAATTCAAAGCAAAGGCTCTCAGAGCAACCTGAACTTTCTGACTCCTTAAACCTCTAAATTGGTGTTTCTTGGGGGGGGTTCTCTGTTCTCTATAGAAATATGTATTTTGTACTTTAAATATTCTGTTTTTTTAATAGATCCAAACCTCAAAGACCAAACAAACCAACCAGGTGATGGCTCTCAGCTACCAATAAATATGATGCCGCAACAAATGAATGTAATGCCACAAGTGAATGCACAACACCAGCCTATGAATATCTTCCCATATCCAGTGGGTGTTCATGCTCCTATTATGAACATCCAACACAATCCATTTAACATTCATCCTCCGCTGCCCATGCATCTCCATACAGGAGTACCTCTCATACAGGTAGCTGCTCCTACCAATGTGTCTCAGGGATTACCACCACCTCCACCTCCTCCCCCACCATCTCAGCAAGTCAGCTACATTGCTTCACAACCAGATGGAAAACAATTGCAGGTATGTTTTTCAGAAATCAAGGTCTAATCAATATAGTCATAAAACATAGTTAAGCAGTGTTACATCGATCAAGAGTATGTTGTATTAAAATACTATAAAACTTATCAAATATATAGTAACAGATCTTCCTCTCCCTGAAAAAAGATAATGTATTTATGGGGAAATGGATTTGTTCTGAAACATCTCTTAAAACGTTAGCCAAAATACACAATTTTTACTGTTTATTTGTAGTTCAGTAGCACCCAGAGATGTCAACCAAGAATGGAATGTTGCATAGTTTCCTCATAGTTTGCCCACTATCCAATTTTGTGTGCACAAAAGAGATTTCAATTCTAGTAGTTTTTAGAAATTGGATACTGAATTATTCTGAATATTCTTCCCATTTCAGCAGAGTGGTGGCTTTATGCTCTGGGAAAGCTTATGTATTTTGTAGTATGAGGAAGCTTTTGTTGTCTCATTTAACAATCCTCTAAATCAGTGAGTCCCAACCTTTTTTTGGAGCACTCTCTTGGGATGGATCAGCACAGGGTCACCCGTACAATGTCCCCTTGCACCATTTCATTATGCCTTTGCTTGTGTCTGTTTTTCTTTTCCACTCGCCTTTCCCCCCCCCCACTGTCTTCATCCTTTTTTCCTTCTAATCATTTTTACTTATTTTATTTTGGCTCTTTTTCCTATTGTGTATAAAGTCTCTGTCCCTCCCCTTTGGTGCTGCAGTCCCTACCCCATTTCTCCAGTCATCAGAAGTCTCAGTTCTGCTGGAGATAGTGAGGCACAGAGAGATGCCCCACTATGAAGGTTGGTGTAGTTCCTGTGGCGCTCCAGAGAAGTGAAATTTGGGCTGGTGGGCCGTTGCCTTAGCCATCAGCTCTGTACATGTGAGCTTCTCCCACAGCCAGTCATTACATTAGGAGCCATACCGGAATGCCGAGGAAAGATGGGTGGCTTTCAAGAGGTTACCTAAAACATTACCTAAACACACAGCAGCACATTTGCAGAATGTGGAATCGGATCTGGGGTCCTGCAGATTTTCTCATCTATGCTGATCCTCAGCCTTGGCCTGTGACACCAAACTAATCTGGTATCCTTCCCTCTGTATCCTAGGTTGGGAAACTGTTGTAGCAAATGTTCCTTTTCCATTGCTGTCAGTATTAATATTCACAACCTCAGCATCACAGAAACAAAGGGGAATAACCATAGGAAATATTGACTTATGTGAATGAATGACACATTTCAAATGTTTTGCAGACACAATGGTAAAATATTACTATAACTAAAATGCAGGCTGATTGTCTATTTGGTTTAGGTCTGCTGTCTGAAATAATTCAGACTAGATTTTTACAATGGGAAATTCAATATTCTAATCCTGGAAGCATGAGAGAGTTGAAGTGTTTCTGTGAACCCTTCACTAATGGAATTGTCCGGTGACTCAATAAATATGACTGTAAAGACAAAGTATTTAGTAAAATGTATTGCTCAAAGTATGATATGAAGCTGAGACTACTGATGTCTGCGTGCTGCCCCTCTCTATCATTATGGAATGGTGTCTGTGCTGGGTCCTGAATCTTTTAGCACTTTGTAATATCATTGACCATGAGAGACTGAGACCTGGTCTACATTTAAATGAGATCAACCTAAGGATTTTGAAAATGTTGTATCCCAGTGTAGATGCGGCAAGGTTGACTGAATTCTTCCATCAACCTAGCTATTGCCTTTTGGAGAAATGGATTAAATACATGGATGGAAAAACCCCTTCTATCAATGTAGGTGTCTATGCTGTAGCATAGACATGCCCTGCGTGTTTATAAGAAACAACTAAGGAAGGTTAAGGATGGTTTTAACTGGATTGTTATCAGTGTAATGTTGATATCCAGCTCTATATCTCCTTTTCATTTGAACTCAAATTCTAGTTTCACTACTGCCCAATCTGGATAAATATAAACTGGCTGTGACTTAACCTGCATAATATAGAAGTGATGCTTATAGGGAGAAGCATTTGGAGCAGCAGGCAAGAGGCGGCATTTGCACCAATAGGAGCTGTTAGCACTATTGTTATTCCTTGATTCCAAGGTAGCAACAATGGTCCATTGTGCCTTTTTCTGAGATCTCGGAATGCACGGGAAATGGCTTTTCCTCAGGTGTAGCCTTCAGTGGTTGTCTGGTCTCTTACGTCTAGTCTTGACTGAGCACTAGCTATGGCTACCCTTGAAGTTCACAAGAAGCTCCATCTCTTGCGAAACACAGAAGCAAACCTTCTAAGACATATGGACAAACATTCTGACACCTGAGCTCAAGCACTTGCATAAGCTTTCCTTTTTGTGTATGCATTTCAAGATGCTGGTGGTGATTTTTAAAGGTGTGAAGGATCTAGGAACTGATTTACCTAACAGATACGTTCCTGTACACTGCCATGAGAGCTAAAAGTGTCTGGGAAGTACTTGCCTTCAGAACCTAAATTTGAACATGTCCATTTCCATTTGCAGCACCATTCTTGGGAATTCTTTCCCAGTAGGTAGAAGTCCACCTCAGCCAGGGTCTAGCAACTTTAATGACATGATGCAAGGTGCATTTATTTTGTTCAGGCTTTCATTAACTGTTTTTGTTCTTGTGTGTGTTAATCTTTATATAAAAGTGGCTGGCTGCTATAGCAACAGCTGATGTAGAAATTTGCTGCTAAACCGAAGTACCTGTGGTATTCGTGCATTTACTACACTTGCTGAGAGTTCTAGAAAGTAACAGTTATTGAATATCTGAAGAATAATGTATTAACTGCCGGTAACTTTTTAAAACAGGGTATTCCTAGTGCTCCTCATGTAAGTAATAACATGAGTGCACCACTCTTGCCTGCTCCAACAGCAGTCCTGGGAAATGTGGGAACAGTTCAGGGACCAAGTTCTGGTAATGCAACATCATCAAGTCACATCAAAACCTCTAATGCTGCTGTAAAATTTGCAGAAGGCAAAGTAAGTGTTACGGTGGAAGCCAGCGCAGATAGCTCGAAGAAAGACCAGGCAAGTTCAGAGTTGAGAGCAATATATATAATTCTACAGTGTTAAAATTAGAGAGCAAATGTGTCGATCTCCTTTTTTATGTATGGGATACTTATTGCTGTCATCCTTAAACTTCCATGGAAACTGTATAACTACAAGAAACTAACAAATTAACTTAATTTTTATCTAACAAAATATTAATACTTTTAGAGCTACACTTCTGTAAGTACTTAAAAATATTGTAAAGTGTAATTAATTAGTGGGGCCACATTCTGCTCCCGATAAGTATGTGTGGTTCTCATTGACATCTGTGGAAGTTGGTTGTGTGTTCAAATATTAGGGCAGAACTTTGGCCCTGTTTCTGACAGCCTTAATTTAAGAGAAACTTTCAGTCTGCAAAGCTTTCTTACTTTGATCTAATTAACTTTAAATAATCTTTTCATGTTTAAAAAAAAAAAATTTGCACACACACTTACCTAAAAACCAGGTATTTTTCTTTTGACAGAAATTGTTAATTCAAGAAAAAGCAGCACAAGAGGTAAAACTGGCTATTAAACCTTTCTACCAGAATAAAGATATTACCAAGGAGGAATATAAAGAAATTGTGCGGAAAGCAGTAGATAAAGTAAGTTGTATTCAGGAATGACTTTTTAATAGTCTAAAAATATACAGACATGAATATGTTAATTGCTTCCTCCCCCCAGCAATATTGGAAAAAGGGTAATGATTTGAGGGCGCTCAGCACCTTGCAACCTCAGGTACATTTGTTCATTCCATAGACAAAAAAACAACAGTGGAGCGTAGGTAGATCTTGCCTTATTAAATTAATAAAACAGCCTTCCTGATTTCTTTGTTTTGCCCATTTTAATGAAAGTAAGCATTATTTATCTGTGAGTAACTCTTTACTGACAGCTCTGAAGAATTGACAATGGTATGTGTGTGTGTGATATATATATTTCCTGTTGTAGGTTTGTCATAGCAAGAGTGGAGAAGTCAATTCTGCAAAAGTGGCGAATCTAGTGAAAGCATATGTAGACAAATACAAACATTCACGGAAGAAAAATCCAGAGGAAGCAGTCTCTGCTGAAAGAAAGAGAGAGTAAAATGAAAAAATACTGAAAACATGATCAAGATAAATCTGCAAAGTGCAATTTCAACATGAACCATTAACTGAAAATTATTCATGATTGATTGGAATCTGGTTTTGATAAAATTATTTTTCAATGTAGTATATGTTTTGTTCTAAATAAATATAGATCTAACTGCAACTTCTTTATCCCTTTTCAAAAAAAATGCTTAAAAGAAAGTAAAAGGTGTAAAGGGGGCATTTTTATTAGGAATGTACGATTGTGTGGATACTAGCAGATGTACAGCATTTTGACTTGAATAATGAAGTGCGTAAAATTAGAAACTTCTAAGTACATTGGTTTTGGAACAGGTATGTACAGTACATGTAATCAGTCAGATTAAAGATATTAAAGTAAGATTTTTCTCTTTGATTTTCCCCTAATTATAATAAAGATAATGTATTCCCCTGACAAATACTTCTAGTGTTAACTGGACAGATTGCAGGGGTCAGTGTGTGTATATTAAAAAAAAGCACATGGCTATGTCTGAACAGAAGAACTGTTTAGATACAAAAAAAAATTAATCATAAACAGTAAGATTCAGTGCCCAATATCATGGGCACTGTACATCTATTGTAACACCAAATAAAGGTTATGCTGCTTGTTTTTGCTTTGTGACTTTTGTTTTAAGATGTTGGGACAAATCTGCTTAATTCTTATGGAAATTAATTGAAGGCTTCAGTTCCAAGAGGTATGGTTCAGGCAACCAGAGTACATGTCTACTTCTTCCCTCATCTGGTAAAAGGACCTAGGAAATTATCGTTGTATAGGGCTGGATATTCAGGAATATAAGCACTGGTTTTGTATAACTCTTCAACTATATGAACAAGAGGGGCTTCTGTATTAAGTCTTACATGGGTCTCTAATGACCAGAGGTAGTCAGTTGTGCCAATTTTAGTTATGTGAGGTATTTTATTAATATGAACTATAGTTTGCAAGAGAATACAGCATAGACCACCAAACTTGTCACTAAAACTGCAAAAAGTTATCCTAGGTAACATACAAAATGTAGTCACGTATAGTAGCTTTCATATTTCCCAAAACACTTTGCAATATAGAATTATGTACAGATAGTCCCATTCTAAAGACAAATATGGGAGCCATTAAGTGTGTTACAGGAATGCTTGCAGTGTTGAGTAGAACCTGCTTTACACTGAGAGGGTATGGGTGCCAGGACCTTGACATTTTTACCAGCTCTTTATGGAAAAAGCACCCATTCGGCTCCTTTTAACTTTCATGGGGACAGTGACTAGGAGTGCGGTAGATGGGACCTTGCTTTCCTTCTCCTTTTGAACTGTGAGTCCCTCAGTACTGCACATGGGTAATACTGTTGTTTGTGAGCCCAAGACCCTTGTGTTCCAACTAAAGGCCTCAAAAGTGTGAATGTGCCATGCTGACACTTAGTCCCTGCAATGTGGTGTAATATACTTTGTTTTATCTTCTGGGATGTTACCATCCACACAGCTGTCTTTGATAGGGGACTTTCCAGTGCTTTTCCATTCCCTTCCATGAGATGAAGGATAAATTAAGCGATATAGACGTATATAACTAAATGCTGTCACAAAACAGTTCATCACTTGGTTTTAATTATAACTTTCTGCAGACTTACTGAAGCATTTGACTTGCTATATTTATTTTTGTGTGCCTAAATCAAAATATTATGTAAATTGGAGACGATGGTATAATACATTTTCTATGGTCAAGCCATGTTTTAGATCTTTCAAAAGTGATTCATAGACAGTTGTAGCAATTTGTATGAACTCTCAATCTATTTTAAGCTAGAATTGGTTAGCACTTTTTGACAAATCTTGTAGCAAATTGCTATGTCGATCCTGGTTAATCACGCCATGCGTACTTATTTTTATTGCATTTTCCTCTTCTGATGAATTTTTGGGGTTTAATGATTTTTATATATTTTTACTGTATACAGTTGAGCCTCACTATAATGTTCCTTTTAGGAAATAGATAAATGTCCTTTTGAAGGGGAGTAGGAGGTGAAGGGCTGGAGGGATGGTTGCTTTCAACATGTTGCGGGCGGGAAGGCAGGATTTGTTGTTCTTTGTTTCCACAGCTCCTGTCTGGAAGTCAAGATGCCACTTACTACCATATTATAATTGGGGCAGTGATTATTATAGGGATGCTCCACTGTATTTCAAATCCTAATGAAGAATATCTGATAGATTAGAATGTGATCAGTAAACCTTATTTTTTACAACTGAAATATTTAAGAATTTATCAGAAAATATGCAGTCCATTAAAATGGATGTTTAAATTAAAAATGCATTGCCTTAATACATAGACTCTCCTATATTTTTCCAGAAAAATCAGCAAGGTCAACTTTAATATGACTGAATGAGAAGGCATGTGCTTTACCTTTGTGAACATCTTTTTGTTAAGACTAGTATTAAAGCTGTGTTCCTGTTGATATTTATTGAAACTGTTAACCCCTAGTTGTTGGAATTTCCCAACATGCACTAATGCAAAATACAAAGTGGCAGCAGGAGCTCTGGGCCCAGTTGATGCTGAGAAGGTCGAGAAGACAAATTCATCTTACCTAATTGCCTTGAGAAAATTTATTAAATTGTTATACATTCTGTGAATTTAGGCAAATCACAAGGAATTTCCCTGCACTCCTTCAAATGGTTTCTCTGTGCATGCTGCTTGAATGTCTCATCCTAAAGATGTATCTTCAGGAGCACAGTGGCTGGGCAAAGTCTATGCTGTGGTGTTTAAGGCTGGAGTGCTGTCTACTGAAATAATATTCTAAAAATAGTTTTATGTAGTGCATAATATTTTCTAATAAATTCTTTTGACTAAACTTCAAGTAATGTGTTTTTGGTCTTAAACTATACTGGCTCAGAAGGTTTAATTTAAATGGCTAAATCTCCCACCACAGTCTGTCACAGGAGAGGTTCTGAAATGAATTGCTGTTTTGTAGGCATATAAAACTATATGGAAATTACTCTGCTGTATTTGCCTTCTCTGTAATCCCCAACTCTCTCCAGTTAAGATGGTTGTTTTCTGTACATCTGTACTTAATTGTGCTTTATAATGATTAAGTAAAAGAGCAATTGTGTTTAACTTTTGGGAGACATGCACAAGTGTTTAACATATTTTTGCCCAGAGTCTAACTATAACCAGAAAGTTTCACACCTTTCAGGTGGTGTTCTGAGAAAGGGTTATCTTTGTGCTGAGAGGGGCCGGACAGTAGTCTTAGAAGGGAGTGTTAGACTGCAAGTCTGCACCCTGAGTTGTGTGCCCATGACCCCTAAGATTGAGGCAGTGGTTGGACTCTCTTAAGGAACCAGACGCTTGCTTTCCCCTCACAGCAGTGTGGTAAGTGGCCAGCAAGGGGCACCTGGCCCATTAAAACTACAGACCTACCATGTCTATATAAGGTGAAATCTTGACTCTTAGGAGTCTTTAGATTTACTTTAGCAAGGCCAGGTTTCACTCCACTACTTTTGTAATTGTTAAAAATACTTTTTCTAGTATAAAGGTGGCCTTGATAGGGAGCAGTTGAGCAGTAGTGAGGTAGTTTCAAACGAAGGCACTGTAGGAGGACATGTCACTTAGCCAAGGCAACTGCCAAGACTTTACTATTGAAGGAACCTTAAGCCCTTTGATGTTTCTTTCAGGCTTTATTCTGTGGCCTGTCCCGAAGGACTCCATGGACCACAGGTTGAGAGCCACTAATTCTAGCTGAAAAATTGTCACAAGAGCTGTGTAAGCTACTGCTCCAGGATATGAAGTTACAGTCCATCAAACTTTGACAGGCAACTGTTTGTAAGTGTAGTGGGTCACATTGGAGCTGTAATGTTAGGAAAAGGGGTGCCCATTCAAGATGTTCTAGCTGGAAAATAGAGGATCCAAGATGAATAACGCTCTGAGGTAACTAGTAGAAATATCCACTCCTAAGTAGTATGCTCCTGTCACTGTTACCCATTGGGGCTGCTTCTCCTTTTATTGGCACTCTTGTAAAAGAAAAAGCCCTTAGTCTTCTATTTAAGCTAATGAATTTAACCTCTGTATTCTGTGTTTTTACAGGAAGCTGTTGTACAGATCAAATATACAGTTAACTAGCCCAAGAGCACACAAGAATGTTTCCAGCTTTGCTACAGGCTAACTATGATGTTTGATTCCTAGTTCTGTGCCTTAATTATAACCATGTGAATATCCAAATAATATCTATCTTAGATTCTCCAGCTGTAATTCCAAGAGACCTAAGAGAAGGGCCTTATCTGCACAAAGTTGCACTGATTTAATGTGAGTCTGTTTAACCCAGGGCAAACCCTGTGAAAACTTCGTGTTAGAAACAGGTTTTAACTACAGTATTGAAACTAAAAGAAGTGCCTACTCAAAAGATTGGTTTCAAATCACACCTTTAAACCAATGCAACTTAGTTAAATCAGACAAATGGCTCAGTGGACACTTATTTCAGTAATAAGCTTGGTTTCAAATTGCATCTGTGGGCCTAGTCTACACTATAAAATTAAGTTGGCATAACTATGTTGCTCAGTGGTGTGAAAAAGGACAGTGACCTGTTCCATAACTGGTGTTCTTTGAACTGTGTTGCTCATGTGTATTCCACAGTAGGTGTGTGTGCTTGCCACATGCACTAGTGCTGGAAGTTTTTCCCTTAGCAGTACCCGTAGCGGGGGAGCCCTGCTGTGACCTCTGGAGTGGTGCCTCTATATTGTGCTATAAAGGGGGCTGCATGCTTCCCCCACCCTCAGTTCCTTCTGACCAGATAACTGTGACAGAGGGGAAGGAGGGCGGGATGTGGAATACACCTGAGCAACACATTTTGAACGCCAGTTACGGAATAGGGAACTGTCCTTTCTTCTTCGAGTGATTGCTCATGTGTATTCCACAGTAGGTGACTCAAAGCTATACCCGATGGAGGCGGGTAGGAGTTTAAGGGTTACCAGGATGGAGTAACACCGTACCAAACCTGGCGTCATCCCGCGTTTGGGAGACAATCACATAGTGCGATGAAAAGGTGTGGACAGAGAACCATGTACCAGCCCTGCAGCTGTCCTGAATAGGGACATGAGCCACGTAGGCAGCTGATGAGGCCTGAGCTCTTGTCAAATGAGCCTTCGCTATGGGGAGGGAGGGGACCCCTGCCCCTGCCAGGTTGTAACGTGCATATTCACGAGGTGATCCAGCAGGAGATCCGCTGGGTAGAAACCGACCGCCCCCTCATGCACTCAGCTGAAGCAACAAAAAGCTGGGGGGGATTTTTGGAAAAGCCTCATTCAGTCTAGGTAAAAAGCCAGCACTCTATGCACATCTAGCATGTGCAGGCATTATTCCTCATTGGAGGAATGGGGCTTAGGAGAGAGGATGGGGAGGAAAATGTCCTGATCCATGTGAAAAGCCGAGACTACCTTCGGCAGAAACTTTAGGTGCACGTGGAGCTGGACCTTATCCCTATGGAAGACTGTATATGGGGGTTCAGAGGTCAGGGCCCTAAGCTCTGAGCCCCGGTGGGCTGAAGTGATAGCCTCCAGGAATGCCATTTTCCACGATAAGTGAGGCCAAGGGCTCGAAGGGGGGCCCTGTGAGGCGGAAGAGCACTAGGTTCAGGTCCCAGAGCGGCACCGGGGGTCTAGCATAAGGGAATGCCCAATCCAGCCCTTTTAGGAACCAGGACATCATGTGGTGTGAGAACACCGCGTAGCCCTGCCCCGGGGGGTGGAAAGCCGAAATGGCCATCAGGTGTACCCTGACCGAGGAGGGCGCCAGCCCTTGGGACCTAAGGGACAGGAGGTAATCGAGGATGAGCTGGATAGATGCGGAGGAGGGGGTGGAACCCATCTCTCGCGTGGAGAACCGTTACTATTTGGTAAGGTAGGTTCGTGTGGATGGTTTCCTGCTCTCAAGCAGGACCTATCTAACGTCCTCAGAACACCTCTCCTCCTCCTCATCTAACCACGGAGCAGCCATGCTGTCAAGTGGAGTGCGGCTAGGTTGGGGTGGAGGAGACATCCTCCCTCCTGGGTGAGGAGGTCCGGTCGAAGTGGCAGCATGCACAGGGAAGCCACTAAAAGTTGCAGGAGGATCCCATACCAATGTTGATGGGCCTAATCCGGGGCTATCAGGATGATCCACGCCCCCTCTGCCTTTACCGTCTGTAGAACCCTACATATCAGGGGGAAGGGCGGGAAGACGTAGAACAGGTGGCCGATATTGCCCCTTCGCCCTCTCCCGCCCTGGAGCAGAATCGTGGGCATAGGCAATTCTGGATGGTGACAAACAGCTCTACCTGGGGAGTACCCCACTCTAGGAAGAGCTGCCTGGCCATCTCCCTGTGTAGAGACCACTCGTGTTATTGGGAGAAAAACCTGCTTAGGTGATCTGCGAGCATATTGCGCTTGCCAGGTAGGTGAAAGGCCCTCAGAAGAATGTTGTGGGCTATACAGAACTCCCACAAGAGCTGGGCTTCCTGACACAAGGCCACAGAACGCATGCCCCCTTGCCTGTTGCTATAATACATCGCGGTTGTATTGTCCGTAAGGACTTTAACCACCTTCCCCCCCTAGGTGCCGGCTGAAAGCCAGGCACACTGCCCTGAGCTCCCTGACATTTATGTGCAGGGACAATTCCGAGGGTAACCATCTGCCCTGGGTTTTGAAGCTCCCCACATGGACTCCCCATCCCAGGTCCGAGGCATCTGACACCAGATCTAGTGAGGGAGGAGGCTCCCGGAAGGGGATACCCTGAAGCATGTTGCTCAGGAGGGACCACCATTGCAGGTCGACCACTACATTGGGTGGCAATGTGATGACCTTGTCCAGGCCGTCCCTGGCCTAGGAGTACTGGGAGGCCAGCCAGAGTTGGAGGGGCCTCATCTTGAGCCTGGCGTGTTGCATCACTGAGGTGCATGCTGCCGTATGGCCTAGGATTTGAAGGCACACCCATGCGTGACCAAGGCGATGAGACCTTTGAGTGTCTCAAATCTGTCCTGGGGGAGGGAGGCCGTGGCCACCAGTGAGTCTAACAGTGCCCCTATGAAGTGTATGTGCTGAACCGGGACTAATGTGGACTTCTCCTCGTTTACCACTAGGCCTAGACTTGAGCAAGTATCAAGCAGGAATTGTATCTGTGCCTGCACCTGGGACCGAGACTTGCCTTTGAGCAGCCAGTTGTCCAGATAGGGGAAGATCTGCAGCCCGTTCCTCCGGAGGTGGGCTGCCACCTCCGCCATGCATTTGGTAAAAACCCTGGGGGCTGTAGAAAGGCCAAAGGGAAGGACCGTAAACCGGTAGTGGTCTCTCCCTACCAGCAAACGGAGGAAGGGCCTGTGACCCTCGAAAATATGGATATGGAAGTACGCATCCTGGAGGTCCAGGTCTGGGAACCAATCTCCCGAGTCCAAGGACGGAACAATAGAGGCCAGGGACACCATACGGAATTTGCAGTGAACCAGAAACTGGTTGAGATTCCACACGTCGAGGATGGGCCTGAGCCCACCTTTCGCCTTCGGGATCAGGAAATACCGGGAGTAAAACCTTTTGCCCTGGAATTCCTGAGGTACCTTCTCCACCGCGCCCAGGGTGAGGAGACGCGTCACCTCCTGATTTAAAAGGAGGGCATGTTCCGGGTCCCCAGGGACATCCCGGGACGGAGGATGGTGTGGTGGGGTGAATCGAACTGCAGCCTGTACCCCTCAGAGATAGTACTGAGGACGCACCGCTCCGATGGTATACGGGACCGTTGCACTCTGAAGGCCGATAAATGGTTGCCAAAAACCAAATTTATTAACTGGGGGGCTTCCCTGGCAACAGGCCAGATGGCCCCCCGCAAAGAGTCAAAAAC